CTTCTATAAGATGCGACTGTTCTAGTTGAGGTATCCGTTAAAAAAAAACAGTGCATCCATTCACATATGGGATATGGGTGTGATCAATAATATTGATAATTATTTATATAAAATCAAAAGACACATTATTTTTTAGAGAGACAAGTTAACATTCGAGATGTGACGGTTCGACGAAACGATACGTCTATTATCGTGTGATTATAAACTATTTATAAAATAAAATAAAACGAAGTATAGGTCATACAGTGTGTTTGGGGAAGGGAATACTCGGGACACGTGGAAGACCCCTATTGGTGCTCCAAGATGACTCATGAATCATGCCCAGCTCGGAAGGCCGAGATGGCCGCCACCAACGCCGACAAATGCCAAGTGTGAGGGCCGAGGTGAGCCTGGCTCAGGTCCGACCCACCGGGGAGCTCGGTATGGGCCGAGATGCGCAACTGTCCGCGGCGTGATTATCGGGCGTAACCGTCGGTCCCGAGATTACCGGATGTAACCGACGGTCCCGAGATTACCGAATGTAACAGTCGCGAGATTAGCGGGACTACCACCCATAAGTAGAGGACTTCACTCCACGATCAGGTACGATGATTTCTGGCTTCGAACTAGACTTGGAATCCGACCTATACTGACTTGATCGTCGGAGTGCTCACCTTTTTGTGCAGGTCCGCCCAAGTGTTCAAGTCGGTCCGGAGGCCAGGTTCGAGCTACAACCAGGAACACACTGTTGTGCAAATCTTTGCATAAACACAGTGTATTTTTTCTTTCTCCGAAATGTATATGAATCATTTTTTTTATTAGAGAATTCAAACAGTTTCTCCCTCATTTATTATTTTTTTCTTTTGAAAGAGGATAAACACTATCCCGAGTTTGCTACGGTGATTCGGGCGGTTGATCATGACCTCTTATTGTTTGAGAGTTTTGTTCTTCATGAGGAAACATTAAATCATATCAAAGATTTACAAATTCATAAACTTTTTTTAGTCGATGAAGAGGTAGAGTATAAAATTGTATTTATTGTTCATATCTATCTTAATATGTCTCTCGTGGATAGTTTTTATAAGTATTTTTTGTACCATTTGACCATGAATGCTCCTGATGGCTAAAACATGGCAAAGTTCTGTATTTAATGAATATCTTTCAATTAATATATACAATTTAGTGTTAGATATGGGGATATGATTTTATACCCTCTTTCTTTCTCAATTTTTTTTAGAGAGATGATAAAGAAAGGGGAGATGATAAAGAAGATATAAACTTTAAAAAATGTTTATCATTTCTGTTTGATCTTTAACTACTTTTAAACTTTATATTTATTTTCTATTAATTATATAGTAGCAGACGTTTCTAAACTTACGCGTGATTAAGTTTTGATCAATAATTTATTTGTCGTAATCATGTTCTGAGTTCTCTTGATTGTTTGTTTTCTTTGATCTTAATTATATTAGAAATTTTTCATGATGAAATACAAGTTTTAGTTTGGATGTAAGTGGAGGGATGTCATGTCATACAAAACTTATTATTATTTTTTATTTTAAATATTAACACACTAGATTAAACAATTTTAGTTCTAAAATTTTTAAATAAAAGTGTTATTAAAAATTGTAAAGTATAATATATATATATTAGGGGTGAGCAAATGAATCCAAAAAATCGAGTCAAAAACCGATCGAAACCGACCAAATCGAAGTGGACGAAGTAGTTTTATAATTCCAAAACCGATCAATCGGTCGACATCAATTAATCTTCCATTCCGACCGACCGATGGTATACACTATCATAAAAAAAATCTATTTATATTTATTATTGTAGGGTTCTCTGCTGCATCGAGCCCTAAACATTCATTTATTTGCACAGCTCCCAAATAACTTTCCTTCACATCTCCCAAAAACAAGTCTTTTCACCGTCCAGTCACCCACTCCCTCATCCTTCTTCTCCTTCTTCTTTCTTCTTCTTCAACCTCTTATTCTTCCGTCCACCTCCTTCTCTAATTCCTTCAGCTTCTCCTTTTTTTTTTCCGTTCGCAACGGTGCAGCCCCAGCAGCCACCCTGATATTTCTCTTTTGTGTACATCGTCGTGCGGCGCTTCTCTTTTGTGAGCATCGCCGAGTAACGCCGTTGCAACCTCATCCTCTCTCTTCTTCGTCGAGCGATCAGTATAAAAAATTGAAAAAAAAAATAAGTCAATTTTTCTACGATGCCGACCGACCGAACCGACCAGGTCGGCCGGCGCTCGATACCTTAGAAAAAAGTTGGTTTCCAGAAATGGAAATCGACTAGGTCGATTTTTGGTGTTTGGGTGGGCAAAAACCGACCCTGACCCATGATCACCCCTAATTAATATATATATATATATATATATATATATATATATATATATATATTTAAATAAGCAGGGTCACAAAAAGGATTTAAAAAATATAGTGTTTGTTTTTTTTATCAAAAACTAAAAATTTGAAGAAAAATTGAAAATAAGATTTGCAATTTTTGCGTAGCAAATAAAAATTTGTTTAATGTCTTATTTGCCTGTATGATTTTAAAATATAACTCAATATCTAATGAAATAATAATAAATAATTTTTTTTCAAAACTAAAGATTTACCTCATTTTTAAATAGGATTCCACAAAATCTCTTAATAGGAAAAAAAAAAAAACCACTTCTAGGATCTTTGAATTTAATAGTTAATAGTTATTCCATGATTCACATTTATCTTTTCTTCAATTTCTAATTTTCTATTTCTGCAAATCATGTAATATATCACTTTCTAAAAATGTAATCCAAGTTTTATTATTAACTATGAAAATGGAAGATTTTCTTCCAGAAAACATGGTTGATGAAATATATGCGCTTCATTTTTTAATTCTCTCAAGAATCAAACTCTTGAAATAATATCAAACAATTATCAGGTAAACAACTAGTTCACAACTTTAAGATCTATTATCTTATTTATCATTTCTCTCTTTTATTATTTTTTTAAATTCATGTTAAATATTTGTTTAAAAAAATTATTTAAACATCAATAAAAAAAAAATACACTCATTTAAATCTTAAATTTATTATAAAAAATTATATTTGAAAATTTTAAATTGCCGTAAATCTAACGAGTATATATTAAAACAAACAAACAAAAATTAGGATTTGTGCCTCCTCCCCTTTTCTATCTTCTCTCTCTCTCTCCTCCCTCTTCTATGTCTCTCCCTTCCCCTCGCCGTCTAGCCACCTCACTGTGATGCTGCTGAACCCCAACCCCACCCGCGCTGCGTGCCCGCATTGCTCAGTTTTTAAATGGCTTCTTTACTATATTTGCAAATATTCAACAACTTTTTTGGTTTTACAAATATAATATGGCAATTATTAAAATCAGATTTTTTTTCCTTTTCTTTTTTGTTATACTGATTTTGCACTTGCTAATATAATTATAATATTATGTATATCAATCATATAGCTGATTTATAGAATATAAAGTCATATAACGAATATACTAGAATGATATACTTAATATTAAGTAAACCGGTGATAAATCTTCTTCGAGTTAAAGATTTGAGTTCAAGTCACACTGTATGTTTTTTTGTTGATTGATATGTCTGATTATATTAGTGATATACTTTATTTAAGATATATCATTCATGTAACTAGTATATTTTGATATGGAAATTATATCAATTACACAATATACGAGTCATATACTCCATATTAGATGTATTACTTAATAAATATATATTAGATATATCACTAATAAATATTCTTCGAGGGGAAGGTTTACTATAAGCTTATAAATTTTTTTATTGCAAGTTATCAATGATATACTTCATTCAAGTATATTTACAAAAAGAAAGAAAGTATATCAAAACATTAAATATATGAGTTTTATATTTTATTTTAAGCATATCAAAATATTAAATGTATGAACTGTATATTTTATTTTAAGCATATCACTGTTATACTTAGATATTAAATATATTAATGCAAGAGTTTTTCTTTTTAAAAAAAAACTAAATATTTTAACAATTCTTTTTTTTTTTTTGGTTCAATTTTCAAAGGTGGTTGCTATATTTACAATTAACTATTAAATTTTTACCATATTTCCAAGAAACCCAAAAAGAGATTAGAATATGAATATATCGTTCAAATATTAATCCATTTTTGAGTAGACCAATAATAATCCATAAAAGTAAAGAAATCATTTTTATAATTAAATTAATCAATATATAAAGTAGTGATCCAAACATTAAGACATGTTACTTCAAGTCGGATGTTTAAATCCCACCCAACATTTGTCATATTAAAAGAAAGATTCGTCACTAGTTTATGTAACTGAAGGATTATAGTACACAAAGCACACAAATAACAACTTTTTTTTTAAAGCATATATCTTCAAGTGGCTTTTTAAGAAATACTGTATTGGTAATTAATTCTATCCTCCTTTTTCTCATGCCACTAAAGTCATACCTTACACAACTTGGTTTTTACTCTTTTACTATTTTGTGTTTAAATAAATCTGCATACTAACAGTTTTTGTTTCTGAAAATCTATAGCTGTGTATAAAATCAAAGGTTACTTTCTAACATACTGAATACTTCTAATTTGGACTTCACATGATACAAGCATCCAGTATTAGTGAACTATAGTTCAAAAAGTATTGGTGAATTGTTGAGCTTACATGCTATAAATTTTGGAATGAACTCTGACATGAATCCAGATTTCTATCAATACCCATTTTAAGTTTTGTTAAATAATTTTTGTATTGTTTTAAATAATAACCTTACGTCACATATCAACATGAACATAAATCAACTAGTTAAGACATATCTCAACCAAAAGACCGTGGCTTCAAATCTCTACCCTCATATATTGTCCTAAAAAAAAAAAAACCCTTACGTCACATTGTTTAAAAATTGGTAATATGACTAAGTAAAAGAATTCAAAAACCAAATAAAAATTTTCTTAGTGATGTAGCCTAAAGAGAAATATTAGATTGAATTTTCTAGATAATCTTACAAAAATAGCATCAATCAAAGTAGTAAAAAAAATGATCAGAAAGAAACAGAAACATGACACATTTGATAAAGGCAGGAAGTTTGAGCTAGATGTTGATTCATATATAACATTTTAGACAACAACTCTCCATCTCCATAACAAGCTGCTCTATAAGAATAGTACGATTAACAAAACTAATCTTTTGGCATCAATTGCCTAAGTTTACCTTATCGAGAGTCAATTCTGTGGCGACAAGTCTAAGCAGTACTTGGACTAATTTTCTGACCCTAGGTTCTCTGTCCACCAAAAAAGAAGGCACAAAAAAAGAATTAAAATCAGTAACATTGGATTGGAATATCCATGCACATGGTTCAATACAACACTGCTCGAGTCTATAAAACGTATTAAATTGTGAAGTTATTTTTCATATAAAAGAATAAAAATGGACAACAAGGACAAAGGAACTTAAAATTTAAGGTTCTGCTATGAATAAGAACTCCTTTTAAAATATTCCACACAAATTCATACACGTATGTTATGTTTTAAGACACGGCTATTTTTACCTTGAGACGACAAGTTCACAGAAGGAAGGAAACAAAATTAGTAGGTGAGGACGTCTATCGTGATTCTCCTCTTTAAAGTCAATATTTAAGTGTGAAGGCAAAGGAAGAACTGAGGCAGTATTGTAATGAATTTTGAGACGGGCTAGTTCTTGAAGAACATAAATAATTTCATGAAGCCTTGCTGTAGGCAATGGACGATCACCTGCATCCAAGGGAATAGTAAAGAGTAGCTCGACACTGGTTACATAAATAGCTAACCATTTTTAGTTACTGCTCACCTATACCATTCTCGTCAATCAGGAACCTGTTCAAGATGCATTGGCATCTCGTCATAAGTAACAAGATTGAAATTTTACTGACTTCCAATCTGGTCGAGCTCCATTTATCATCTTCATTGTAATAGCTGATAACATGAAAAACATTAGTTCTGCAACTTGGCATACATGATTTTACAGGGACTAGAATGCTTTACTTTCCTCTTGAAATATATGAATGGGTCATTATGACGTGCAGTAATTTATCATAAGAAAATAAAGAAAATTTTTGCTGAATAATTGCAGATAATTTAGAAGTATCAAATCTAAGGCACAGACTAATTAAACTTGATTTTGATGCACCAAGTCAAAAACTGAAAATTCTAAAGCACATGCTTTTACAATCAGACATCAGGCTTGCAGATCTCGCCAAAATAGTTATATCATGTGACTTTCAATCTTACATTTGCAAAAAGACCATGTAGTTGTGCGTAAATTCCATCTTCACATAAACGTTAAAAAATTAAAATTTCACGCAGAGTCACTGTCCTATAATACCTGCTCAAAGAGAACAACTTCTGCAAACAGGTTAAGGAAAATCTGCTGCAGTGGGTAGGCATCAGCTCTACAGTCTCAACGGGCACTGAGCAAGTTCGTGATGCACAGCGGTCCAACGTGGAAACTAGTCTTTCGAGAACCTGTGAATTATGATGTTGAAAGGTGATAGAAAGTTAGTGAATAGTAAATAATTGAGCAACTGCCAAGGTTTCTTGACAACGTGATATTGGCACTTCAGTGACTAAAAAGTCAAATGGTGTGAAAGTTTTCATATTACAAAGGGGACTGATGACGATGAGAAACTCTTTATTAACACAATATCAACAGTGGAGCACCCTATTCAACATAGTCATGCTCAATCCAAAAAATAATAATAATAAATAATAAATAAAAGAATTAATAATAATAAATAGGTAAAAGAATTTTAAAAATCTGGAAGTAGAAAATTATGGGATATAGACAAGTAAATCAAAATGATATCGTTTAAAAAGTGTGCAGTCACCAACATGCTGACGGAAAAAGCCAAAAACTTGAAAGAATAGAAGTAAACAAGGAGGTCGATTGGGTATATGTTAACAATCATCATGGGTGATGCAAGGTAGACCGATGAAATATACATGTGTGTGTTGCCATTAGCAATAAAATTTGAGGTAAACGGCAACAAAACAACTCCAACTTATTTGAATGCCCTTTTCTGTTGGAGTCGAACAAAGAGTATGCATAATCTGTAGCTATAATAATCAGTTTTCATGAAAAATCATTCAAACTGACGAGGTTGCACGATTAAGACAGTCTGAGAAATTACATCATGAGGTGCATCAAGTGGTGATTTAAGTATATCGTCACCCAGAATGTTTAAGAGAGTCATCTCAAGCCTCTCATTAGCTTTCAGTGACCCAGATGGGAGTGAACTGGATAGAGCTCGCCCACAGTATCCCACAAGGAAAATTTCATAAACATCTGCAACTTCCTTCCATATTCGAGTTCTTGCTGGTTTACTAGTACACGGCTCTGTTAGAACATTCATAGCCAAGTGTTGCACATCATCAAGCAGTATCTGGTTAAAACCTTCGACTGCTAATCTCCAAAGCGTACCATCTGGATTCTCTCTTCTTGTTGTCATACACCTAAAAGACAAATTATTCCTTTGCTCATCATGGTAAAGAATTGTGTTACGAACTAAAATAAAAAAAAAAAAGGAAATTAACCATTAGATATTTTAATGCAGCCTAGAATCTAAACTTTCACAGAAAATTTTTGACATTTGTGAGCATATTTATTTATTTATTTGAATAAAAAATGATTAAGCTCAATAGAAGAATTTTTTTTTTGAAGGAATCAATAAAAAAATGTTTAAACTTTTATTTATTTATTTAAAACCATGATGAAAAAAAAAAATATAGGAGAAAAAATATTTTGAGAGTAAAGCATCAAACTTTGTTTTAATATATAAATGCATAAGTATTGTTCACTTAAAATCAATAAAACGTAGAGTAATTTTAAACAAATTTAGGGTTGCTTTGAACACTTTTCAAATATATTTACATAGTATCACTAAAAATAGGTAACTAGATGCATAGAAAATGACAAGCCATCGATTCCGTGTCCATGTCCATGCTTGTTGGATCCTTACATGGGTGTTAGGATCCCAAAATACAAGAACCTAACTAGAACACAATATTGAAATTCAAAAAGAAATTACAATACCGATAGCCTTTCGAGAGGGCTATCTCTCTCCCAAGAACTCTCTCAAGTTCTTCACCAAAATACTATTCTCCAAGATATCCTTCTCCTCTCCCTACTACCCTTATTTATAACAACTCACCCTAACTAATTAGCATATTAATTACCATGCTACCCATTCACACTAACAAACTAATATTCCCCTACACCCCTAATAGGACTCTCACAATGGGTTACTCATATTTTCACATAATGGACTTACTAAACCTTCCAAAAATTTACCTGACCAACACATTACCAATTGGAAAAAACTTCCTCCTGAAGATTCAGGACGAAGCTCCTCCTGATTTCCTACGTGGTCCAATAGCATATAGATAAGTGTCTTCTTTTATTTTGTATAATTCCTGCGTAGTCCACTTGTCTATATGCTACTAGACCACGTAGGAATTCAGAAGGAGCTTCCTCCTGAATTTTCAAATCTTCGGGAGGGAAGTTTTTTCCTTACCTCAAGAAATCAAGTAAAATAGTGTAAAAATTTGTACCTTCCAAGACTCTGGATAATTTCCGGACATATAATACATTTTTCAACCATTGGTGCATGAAGAAAAAGCTCAACCAAAGCAGGAACAAGCTTTTCTGCAAATAGGACGTTCGGAATGCCAATGGGTAGGACTGCTGATCCTGGAGTCACAGACTGGGAAGCTTCATTGTTTGAGAATGCAGAAGCAGCTCTAGTATGCCTTTCATTTTTTAACCTTACTTGGTTTGCTGAAACACAATATGCAAGTTCACAATTTATATGTCATGGAAAAACCTAGAAATTGCACCTAGCAAATTTTGATACCTGGAATAAGGTAACTAGTGCTCGTTTGATCTGTATCATGTTCATGTATTGAGGGAGAATCTGATCTTGGAAGATATTGCAAAAATTCACGCAGCAGAATCAGCCACATTGTAGAGATGGAATCAGTAGGCCGTAAAAGTGGTAATATTTCCAGAATAGTTCGTAGCTCAGGGGGCACATGTCCCTGGAGAAATAGAGAACATCTCAACGAAATTTAAAGGAAATCAACAAATAATGTAGCATGCTTGAAATGTAAATTTGATAAGTCCTCATCATAGTCCTTATAATGTTCCCATAGACTAAGAAAAAATGTTTGAAGTTTGCACCAAATATTCCATTATAAACTTCATCTCATATCAAAATTTGTCAAATATTCATAAAGTTTTAACATCTAGGATAATTGATTTGTTTGTTCCAAAAGAATATACATGAATATTAGAAGATCCGAATTGGAAGCTAGCTATTATGGAGGAGATGAATGCTCTAAAGCAAAATAGCATTGGGGAAATATAGAGTTGAAAAAAAAAAGAAGCAAGTAGGATGAAAATAAATGTTCACCGTAAAATGTAGATAGTATTGAGAGATACAAGGACAGATTGGAAGCTAACGGCTTAACATGAAATTGATTGTCATGAAACATTTGATCCTATTGCAAAAATATCTCTATTGGAGTTCTTTTTGTCTCTTGCAGTTAATTCAAAGTGACCTCTCCACTAACTTTGTTTTTCTTAATAACAATTTTGAGGAAGAAGTTTTTATGAGCGTACCACCAGGTTTTGAGAGGGAACTCGGATGCAATAAAACTTGTGAATTAAAGCAATCGCTTTACTGTCTCAAACAATCTTCGAGAGATTGGTTTAGACGTTTTGGAAAAGCTGTGTCGTGCTATGGATTTCTTTAGAGTCAAGCAAACCATACTATATTTTATAAACACTATGAGAATAATAAAATCTAATTTTTGATTGTTTATGTAGATGAAATTATTCTCACAAGTGTTGATGAATTAGGTTTAGCTTATCTCAAGAAAAATCTTGAGAGCGAGTTTGAAATCAAGGATTTAGAAATGTTGAAATATTTCCCGAGGATGGAATTTGAAAGACCGGAGAAAGGTAAATTTATTAATAAAAAATATATATATACTTTAAGAAACAGGGTTCCTTGGCTACAGACTTCCAGAAACCCGTATTTGTATCTAATTTGAAATTACAACTTACAAGCACCATCTGTATTTGTATCTAATTTGAAATTACAACTTACAAGCACCATCTGAGTTCATTGTAAGGGAGGGCCTACTTTGTTGGTGAGCTTGTGGTACATGAGCAGTAGGGATTAGGCGGATTTTAGGTGAGATTGTGGCAAAGGGGTATCTTTTTGGCTTATATGTGTGAATAGTGGTGTTGGAATTTCTAATATTTTTAAGTGTAAATATTAGTTGTAAATATTTGGTCACTGTAGTCTTTATTTTTTCCTCTTACTTTATTAGTTATTGATATTTATTCTTTATAGTATATATTATTTTTCTTCTCTCAAAATTATCATGGAATCAGAGCAGGAGGCCGTTGAAACCCTTGAAATTTAATTTTCTCCCCAATTAATATTGATAACCACTTGTTGAGCATTGTGAACATTTCTAAGCCCACAAGAGCGAGTGACTAGTGTATTGATAAAAGATTAATCTTACCGCAACTCACAAATTAAGCTTTTAAGCACCGGACAATATGTAAATTGATAACCATTTGTTGAGTATCGTGCAAAGCCAATGTGTATCAAAGGAAGAGCGCAAGAGGGACTAAAAGGGATATGTACATACGTTAGCATGTGGGCAGTGAGCAGTATGTAAGTTTGTTGTAAGAGGGGCCCACTTCGTTAGTTAGCATGCGATTACACAGGTTGTAAGGAGCAGGAATGTAGGTGAGAGTGTGTCAAGGGGCTATTGTTTTTGCTTGTATGTGTGTATTTTGGTTGAGAAGAGAGAGCTCTCCAACTCTACCTCAGCTGTAACACTTTTATCATTGATTAAAAAGCTAGGCTCTACCACAATATCATGATCATGTAGTTCTTCACTTTAACAATAAAATCGTGAATATATACACTTCCCTAAAAATGAAAATAATGAAACAGATGAATGAACAATAAAAACAAAAATGAATTATCTAAAGTGTGTTTTTTTTTTTGTAATTATTTGTAAATATATATATATATATTTTTTAAAATAAATTGAACAAGGAGCAAAAGAGTAAAAATGAACTTACAAATTCAGCTTCGAAGTTCTCATTAGTTATTATTGCTTGCTTAATAGCCAAATCAACAACCGATAGCAATTGTGTGTACATGTCACTGTCAAACATCATTTGTGCTTGCACGTATAGTTCTCCTGTAAACAATTTAACAGATAGGAAAGTTAACGATAAGCTCGTAAACTACGTATTATCAGGTGAAACTAGTACAAAGTTAATATTAATGCAACTTTAGTATTATCTCCATGATCTTATTGTGAATCTACAAATGACAAGATGGTGACCTCCACCTCTGATTAGGTTCACGAGAGTTTAGAATTATTTCATACATTATCAAGTCAATGGAGGCATATATGTAAAATATAATTACAGATATTCATCACAAGTTAAATCATTACCAAGACCATGCAAAATTTCCTGCTTCACTTTGCTAGCAGCATTACCACTGTAATGTGGTGATTTCTGAAGAACAAGCTCATAGACATTAAGTACCGAAACAAGGTAAGTCATTGGCAAGTTGCCCTGCTTCAAAAGTTAAAGAGCAAAAATGATTCAGGTCATTTAATATCATTATTTGTAGAGTCAATATGAATTGTTCATTTCAGTATGTGATAACGAAAACATGCACAAGAAAGAAAAATCTATTTCGATTTACTCAATGGTTACCTTGGGAGAGTGGGAAACAACTGTCGTCTGTAGACAATTTATTGCTGCAAGAGCTACCTCTTTACTACCATTTAGAATACTATTCTTCACAAAAAGAAGCAAAGATTCCCATCCTGCAGTATGAGAAGCATGCGACATTATTATGTACAACAAACGAAAAGCAAGTAGCAACTAAAGATGTATTAAACGTTATTGAATATGACAAATGTCTAATATACACTCACAAGTAAATAAAAAAATTAATGCAATGAAACAAAAAGATTCGACATTGACCTACCAGACCAAAAATTTCTCAGGTTTCTTAGGAATGGGAAAAAAGAACGTAATATACGCGCTATTCCAGAAAGAACAAGAACTACAGTTTCATCCCACTGTTTCTGAGCAGTATTACGACTGCAAAATGTAGGTAGAAAATAAAAATAACATACAAGGGGAAATAACATAACAGAACAAAAGCAATTCTATTTAGGCACAGATCAAGATTTGTCAATGATAAAAAATAATTCTGGCAAGGATGCATACAAGGCTAGTTGAAATAGCAATTATAGGAAAAAAAGAAAAAAAGAAAGAAAGAAAGAAAAATAGCACCCATTGAAACAATTGGTAAAAGCTAATTACAAATAAGAAAATAAATACAAAAAATATAGCTCCAAGTGGATGAATGAATATTCTCCATTCCTAACTTGCAAACCAAATGCTTGAAATTGTTGTTCAATCATTTTGTGAGGGTATCTGCTATATGATCATTGGTTGGCACGAATGGAGGACATATGAGGCTAGGTCTCGTATCCATGCTAACTCAACTCCAAAATTGATGTTTGTTAACTAAGCGGGACATTCCCAAACTCTTTTCTATCAAACTCCTTTCTTGTTGTCCACCTTCTCTTCTATAAAGTATCTATCAACCTCAACCATGCTTGGTTCCATCATGTCGAACTGGTATGTGCACTGCAAAATTTATTATCGAAGTAAAGTTTCATAGTTTCTTCCCATGGAATCTTCAAATCTTATAAAATAATTTTTATCCCATGTAATCTGCAAATGCCCAAAACCATTGCTCTAAATTGTGCTTTTGAACTCGAACTTACAAATACATTTTCTTTTTACTTCTCCACGTAACCAAATTTCCACCCAAGAAAGTACAATAGCCAGAAATTGATTTTCTTTGAGGAACGAGAAGTAGTTAGTAAAGATAGTGCAGATAAGGTAAATGTTATGTCCTGCACAATGAAAGGTACCTCATCTCTATCGAAGGGGTTCAAGAAAGCCCTCTTCTTTGCCGCACGCCATCGCCGCTGCCTGCCAACACATTTGCCGTCGCTGCTCGGCACCTTCTGCCGTCGCCGCTGTTCGCCAACCCTAACCCTAGCCACCGCTCTAACCCTATCCATACCCTTCCTGCCGGTCTAACTTTTCTTCCAAGCGCCATCGCCCTTCTAACCCTAACCCGCCGCTGACGTCCTCCCAACCATAAATCGCCGCCAACACCCTCCTAACCCTAATCCGCCACCCTCACCTTTTCTTTACCATAGTCACATCCGCACCAACCAGCTCACCGACATCTCCATATTCTTAGGCTGCTTTCAAATGGATTAGAGAAGTTGCAGCATTAAAGCAATTACTATTGGATTGGGTGTGACAGTGACCGTTTTCTCGTAAAAGAACCTAGGAAGAATGTTCAGATTTCTCTTCAAATTTCCCAGCTTCAGTGGTTAGAAAAAGCTTTGGTGGAACTACTGCATTTTCCTTTGTATTCAAGGTTTTTCATGCAAGTTAGGAACGAGAACGGAACTTGTCGACTACAGAAAAAAAAGACTTTTGAAAGGCTGGTTTTTGGAATGCGTTGTTTGGCCCTCTTCGGGTGGAAGAAAATTCATAACTGTACCCTTTTGGTACATGCTAAAAGACTCTTTGCTTGGCCTGCAGGGTTTAGAAAGAACAGTTGGGTAACCTTTTTGGACATGCTAAAAGACTCCTTGGTGAATTTCAAAGGAAAGGTGTTGCAGGGCGCCTCCAACTCTTCATTTGCAGAGAAGGCTAAGAACAGTGATAGTATGATGGCATCCCCTATCGCAGAGGATGATGTTTTTTAGAAAAGAAAAGAGAGCAACTCTTATTGGGTTCAAAAGTAATATGAAGTTGTGGAAACAGATTGGGATAATGTTATGGTTATTTCAAGGTTTTGTGCTCAAGATAATGCCATGGTTATTTCAAGATTTTGTGCTAAGGATAGCTGAAGGCAACTGCTGTCTCCCTCAAAAGTTTCTTCTCAGAAAATCGTCGAGTCAACATTTCTTAGCAGATAAGGCTTTATTTAGATTCGAAAGTGGAAGGCCCTTGAACTGTGACTGGCTCAATGGTAAATAGCGCAAGTTAGATGGATTTCACGTGAAGATGAAGTGGAATCTTGAAAAACATGACAGGAACGAAATGACAGTTTGTTTTGGTGGCTGGGTGAAAATCTGCGACTTAACTTTAGAGCTCTGGAACACATATTGCTTCAAGGTCATTGGAACCCTCTCGAAGGTTTGAAGAAAATCTCTTTAGCAACACTAAATCCATTAGATTGTTCAACAACTTTTATTCAAATAGATAAGAATGACTATGGCTTTATTCCGGCTTCCATCGAGATAACTACGAAACGTGGAGTGTTTCTGGTAAACGTGGTTGCCACAAATGAAGCTACCAAGCCATCTTTTCCCTCCGTTCAGCTTTCAAAGACTTCATTGATTATAGATTCTTCAAATCCATTGGATATCCAAAAATTGCAAGAAGTCTTGGCAGACAGAGTTTCAACTCGGCAAAGAATTTTCTAATAAGGTTAGCTTGGAAAAGCAGTTTGCAAGTGTCCCCTCATCTACACAAAACATACCAGTTGGCCCTGACAATGTGACGAGTCAATTGAGCACCCTTATGGTTAGAAAAGACGTGGGCATTAATAAGGAAGTGGGCATTATTGGCCCTACTGTTTTTCAAGAGCTAAATGCATAAACTATTTTGAACCAAAAGATTAATTCAGCCCCTTCCTTTTTACTACTCTCGTAGAAAGCCTAATACCATTTTCGGAAAAGAGGTTGCAAAGCCCTCGGTAGCTGAAGGGGTCGTGAATGAGGTTTTCTTTGAGGAACGAGATGTAGTTAGTAAAGATGGTATGGATAAGGTAAATGTTCTGTCCATTGGCTCTATTCACTCCACTAACGAGGGTTTGTCTCTTAGATCATCTTCCTTAGAATTCTCAGATAATGATCTTGAAGATGACGATGGCACAATCAGTATAGTAGTTTAGACTATTTTCCAAAGGCAGACATCCCAATTGAGGACTTTTCTAAGCATTCCTTTGCGGACGATTTTCAATTTTTATTGGAAGAGCAAAAAGAAGATGAGAAGCAAGTTCTCCGATAGAAAACAATCATTCCTTTTGCAGATTTCAAAGTTTTGCAGTTTTAGTTCGGTTGGTTGGTTCATGGTTGATGAGGTTTTCAAAGTTTTTCTCGAGCGTGTGGTTTGACATTTGGTAGTTTATATTTGGAGGTTTTTTTTGAAGACAAGATTGAGGCTTAGTATTTGGTGTTTACTCTTAATTAGCATTTCGATTGCGGTCTGTTCTTGTGTCCCTAGCTTCTACTGGTTCTTTTTGGAGTTTGGTCTTCGCTCTTGGTGCTAAGGAAGGTTTTTCCCTCATGCGGTTGGTGACCTTGGAATTAGTTTGGTTTTCCATGCTCGACAGTAAGCAGTTTTTCTGAGTTCTGTTTTAGAATGCTTTTATCTCTTTTGAGCTTGTATTGCTCTTGTTGCGACATGTATTCGTTATTTTTATATTCTTCTCTCTTTTCTTTTCTTTTCTCAACCCTTCGGGGGTTTTGTCTCTTGAACATTTTTTCCTTTTCATATATCAATGAAAAGTTGTTTCTTGTTCACAAAAAATAAAAAGACTACAACAGTTGCTATTTATAGGCAAAGGCTGCAGGCTTAACTTTACAGCCATTAGGTGCTCTTTTAAAAATAAGTAACAAACCAACAAAAGAGCCCTAACTAATTAGAACATATAACTACCGGCTATAACTAACTAACGTATATATCTACTAGATATATTAGGTAGTTAGTTACATCATTTCATAATGAGAGTGATAGGATCTATACCCCTTCTGAGTGGATGACTATCAAACAAAAATACATTTGAGTGATCGTAGATCAAGTTTGCATTGCTGATGATTATGAACATGAACAAAGACTACACAACCAAACACTCGAGGATTCAAGTTACTTGTCGTGCAGATATCAAGATTGATAGGGCATTCATAGGAGTTTTCTGAACTAGACTAGTAGAAACAACTTCCTCTAAAAGTATTTAGGAACATTTCTTATTTGTTTGAAAAATAAGAGCATAGGTCACAATAATATGACCACCCACACCAGACAACTCATGGATGACTCCTTGTTTCTTAAAGAAGTAGGTTTTTTAATACCTTCTACCTGTTGATCCTTCCATTTGTGATTCTAGCATAATACCACAACGAAATCCGTTACTTCTAACCATGCCAATAATCTCATTTAGAAATTCTTACCCCAAAAGAAATAATCTCACTTAGAGATGAGAGGCCTTTGACAAAATTTTTTACTCGAATAGCATCAAATTCAACATTGAGACCTCTAAAAATATCAACTCTTGCCACAAGTTTCAAATAATTTATGAATATTCCCTTATTATTCGATTGCCTCGTTTTGTTCCCAAGATACAAGTCTTCATATCATATACTCAGTGTTTTTTAGGCGCACCCGGGCGCTCGCCTCAGGCGAGAGGTGAGGCGTTTTCGCCTTGGTGCGCCTCGCAAGGTGCCCAGGCGAGCGCCTTCAATTGGGTGCTCGCCTTTGGGAGCCTTGGCGCGTCTTGGAGTGTCTGTCGCCCGAGGCAAGGCGATCGCCTCCTTATTTTTTTTTTAATTTTTTATGTGTTTTTTTTTAAAACACCCTCCCCTGAGCGACCAAACCCTATCTCTACCTCCCCTCCCTCTCGACATTCACCTTCACGGGCTTCAAGCCTTCACCACCATCAATCTTCGCCGTTGCTTGTCTTTATTTGGAACTAAACATATAGAATTTGGTTGTTTTATGTATCTTGTTGACATTTACTATTTTGGTATTAATTTTTTTAAGGTAATTTATGCACTATATATATAATTTTTACTTATTTATTAAGGTGTGCCATGCTTCAATCGGGCATTGCCTTTGTCTCGCCTCTCGCCTCAAGGCGATCAAAGGGCTTGTTGCCTTGCACCTCAAAAACACTGCATATACTTGTGCAACATCCGTCACTTTTGAACAAGTTTGTTTCATTATTTCCCATATGTCCTTGGCAGTGTCAAGCAACATATATAAATCACTAACAGCCAGAGACATCAAATTTCACAACCAAGACATGATCATTGATGCTTCTTCATCCCACACATCAAACTTTGGATCTCCCGATTTGGGTTTGGTCCCAAGTACGTGGTTCAACCTTCCTTTTCCATTCATGAATATTCGGACAAGTTGAAACCATTTTAGATAACTTTTCTCATCCAACCTATAACTAGGATGAATGTTCTGACTTTCTTTCGTAAGAGCCTCTTCGATAATTTTGGTGGATTTTGACACGATGTTGATTAGGATACTAAGCTGCAACTCAAAATGAAATACCAACGCATGATTTTTCACCCTGCTATGAACATGACTAAAACCCAAGAAAAAAAGAAAAAGGAAAAAACAATAACTCCACCGAACAGGATCGAAGCTGAACTAGATCTTAACCAAATCAAATCGAGAAATCCGAACAGCACGCGAACAAGACGTATAAAGCTCTTAAATCTTAATAGACCTTCGAATAGAAATTTAGCCACGAAAAGGAAAAGGAAAGCAGTCGCCGAATAGAAACCCAGCCAAACAAAACCCACGTACTTGAAATAGGACTTCAAACAAGATTGAAGTAGAAAAGCTCGATTGGTAATGAAGGCCAATTGAAAAAATAGGGTTAATCAAGCAAGAATTTGATTGGCAATAAAGGCCAATCGAAAAGAGCCTCAAGGCTCGAATACCATGTCAATGATAAGAAAATAATTCTGGCTCACTTGTAAAGGATGGATACAAGGCTAGTTTAGATAGCAATTACAAGGGAAAAACAAAAAAAGAAGTAAAATAGCACACAAGGAAAAAATTACCAATTAGGAGCTAATTATAAATAATAAAATAAATGCAAAGAAATATGTACAATATAATTTGACAAGATTAATACAGACGAGTGATGTATGAGCATATGGACCGCCTTTCCTCCATGAGTTCCAAGTTCTTTCCCTTGTCGTTCATCTTTAGATGAAGTTGCAGCCTTCAAGCAAGAAGTTCAAAGGCCATCAGCAGAAAGACCAGCAAATGGTCAAAGTAGAGTTATGTTATCACATTAAAGTTACCATGTGGGAAGCATGATCTAAGATAGGAAAAACGTAATCCCAAAGACAAGTCTCCCAAATGCTTTCTGAAAGCTTTTGACCATGACTTCCAAGACTCTGGAAGAGTGTCCTGATAGCTGAATTCCGGACCTGAAGGCATACAAATATGCCAATGTTACTAGCTTATTATTCCTAGGAATTTAATCAATTCTATGTATAACACACCAAGGTTGAAAAAGTCAAGGTGGGGACAAGATAGTTTCATATTACTCTACCTCTGGCCTATCATCAGCCCCAAGCCTATGAAGCAATGACAAAACCGTAAACAACAACTTGTTGCTATCGACCATGTTTGTGAATGGAGAAGCATCAGTGTGACTGGAAACTTCAATAATTTGTTCATCAGTATTTGCATCATTGACTTGTTTTGTGAGAGAAGGCACATCTGCTATTTATGTCATTTTAGTAACAGCAAAGGGTTAGCAATTCAAACAGCTTATGACAGATCTAGTAACAGTTTCTATTTACCAGGGAGGTTACCTGCTTCCTTCTCACCTACATGGTCATGTGAAAGCCTCTTCGCAATAAAATCAGTTATAGTCCACAAAAGCCCTATTGCTGTTAAGCTTATATTTAACTCTGTTTTTTGAGCACTGTATGCTCCAGTCACATCTACACATCTGCAATATGCAAATTGATATTAAATTACGATAGTCTGCATAGAAACTAAACAATGAAGTCGCTTGCTGGAGTTGTGGTTCATTATTATTATTATTATTATTACTACTACTACTACTAATACCATTATTATTGTTATTGTTATTTTTTGATAATTGGAAGTCGGAGCTTTCCTCCCCCTATACCCAGGACACTTGCGCCCGGCCCAAGGCTCGAACCTGGGAGATATCATGGATTTTTTGTATTAAGCACATCGGAAGGCTTGAACTTGAGACATCTAAGCCGCTATGACCAAGAGACCTCAAGTCCTTGCCAATTAGGCTGCCCCTTGGCGTTTCATTATTATTATTAGTATTATTATTATTATTATTATTTATTCAGATCAGCTAGAGGGGATGAATTGATCAAAGTAGTGTTCTGGTAGGCTCCATCGCTCTACTCAAACACAATCCGTTGTTCCACTTAAGCTAAGTGGACTACTGGGATCCAAATTCATTTTACTCTTGTTCCATATATATATATATTTGTTGAATTAGTTAGAAGTTAAGATTATGTGGACTTAGTTAGAAGTTGTTTTAAAGTTGTTTAGATTTTGTGTTTAAATTTAGCAAATAAATCTCCTTTTTTTGTTAGGGAAGTTAGGAGGTTATTCCTAGATTTTGTTTCCTCTTGTAACCTATAAATAGTGCCTCTATTCCTCATCTTTGATCAATCAATTTGAGAATTTATTTCTTCCCTCTTTTCTCGTGTATGTCTCTCTGGTGTCTCTATCCTTAGTTTTTAATATTTTATAACTGGGAGTCGTAGCTTTGCTCCCCATACCCAGGAACACCCACACCCACCACAAACAAGGATTCCAAATATTCTACAGTTGAGGGGTGAATAGGAAGGCTAATAAAATATCCTGATGCAAGAAAACAGTTACTGTATGCCAATACAGTGGATCATCATGAACATAAATACGTATCAAAATTTTCGCTTAAGGCTAATAAAGGCATGTGAATAGGGTAGCACGAAAAATATAGTCCATTGTAGAAGAGGACTGTGAACTATGAAAATTAAAAACGAACGACAATTCCAAATTAAAGATCTTACACGTGGAGGCATTCTTGTGGTATGGTGGAAAGTCCATCGTTCAAGATCACACGCAGACTCTAGAAAGAAACACAAAAAATTAGACTATTCTTATGAAGTAGACAGAATTACAACTGTGCAGATGTTACAAGAAATTCAGACAATAAATTTTCCAGAAACAAGATAAAGTAATTGGAAGATAACTGCAGTCCATAATAGCAGATGGTCGTGCATTATACCGTTCAATGCACCAGATGGACATGGACGTGGATTTTTTAGAAATATAATCAGATGGGACGCACCACAATTAAATGACAGTAATGTGTCAAATCCAAATGTAGTTGCGTACAGTAAAATTAAAGAAACTATAGCAATCGAAATATGTGGAGGAACAAAGAGAAACCTGGTATAGCAAAGGAAGTAACATTTTAAAAGAATAAGTCAAGATTATTCTTCGAAGGAGTAAAGCTAAACAAAAAGCCGACCATGTATATGAACTATCAAACCAGATTGACACATAAAATACATTATTTAGTCACAATGGTGCAGCAATCAAATAGAGAACAGTGAACAAAACTTTTTTCAGTAGCTCATTATCATTTCCAAGTTTAGGAGTATTGAATATTTTACTTGATTTGTTAGTTTATCACTTAAAAATTCAAATATTTTACTTGATTTGTTACTTTATTACTTAAAAATTCATCTAAAAGTTGAGGGACGTATAAGAAAAGCAGAAAACGCAGATTATATTTGACAACTTAAGAATGAGTACAGGTAAAAGTTTTTGTGATTAAGTGGTTGTATTAAGAACAACAGGTGAACAGAGTTTATTATTAGAGTTTATTATTTGTGAATATTAGATGTAAAAAATTATTTTACTCTTATTTCTTTCTGTGAATTTAGCCTTTCTTCTATATAAGAAAGCAATGTATTTCTTACTTTCGATATATTAGAATACAAATATTTTATTTCATCTAAATAAAGTTGGTGATTGGTATCAGAGCTAGGATTTTTAACGGCGATCGGTAGCCGCCACTCCCACTACTGGAATTGTAGCCGTCATCTTCAAACGACGCATTCTACTTTCCGATCACCTGTGCCTGCAGTGACGGCCTCCTTCGTGCTACTGTTCCACTGTATTTCGTGATAGGTGGTCCATTATTATATATTTCGTCGTATGAATGTGGTTCATCGAGCGTCAACGTCGGAACCCTCCTATTGCCGAAACCATAGTGGCATACCTGAATGCGCACCCTACTTCCAGGCACGACAGGTTCCCTATTCTGGCATGCTTCTTTGCCATTTGTAGATACAAAAGGTTCGCATCTTCTCGCTGCTCACAGGTTAGGAAGTCCGAAGTTCATTTGTCCCTTTGTGGCGACTCCACCATTTTCTTCACCTGCTTCCGCGACTGTTTAGAGCTTCTTGCGGCTCCCTCTGTCGTTCATTTTCTGAACTTCAAGTCCTCAGTTTGGTCTGATTTGGTTTAGGCCTCCTGCTTGTTTCTTTATAAACATCATTTTGTGCTCTGTTTTTGTTTCCTTACCGATTATTTTGCTATCATGGTTGAGAAAACCATTGAAACGACTCGAAGTGCAGAAAAAAATAAGAGTGACTGGGCACAGTTTTATGCTACTGGTGTTAACTCTAGTCCATTTGGTGGAGAGAATCTACCACAACAACTAGAGACCAAATAGTCATTTGGTAATCTTTGTATTTCCTTAGACAGGTATTTACCCTAAAGCACTTTCTTATTTTGGCTCATCTCTGTGGATTATTGATTTTAGAGCTTCTGACCATATGACTAGCTCTTCTAAAATATTTGAATTATACTCTCCTATATATGGCAATCAAAAAATTAAGATTGCGGATGACAGTTTCTCTTCTATGGCAAGAAAGAGAACCGTTAAATTAACCAAAAATATTACTCTTCAATCGGTGCTTCATGTCCCTAAATTAGCCTACAATCTTTTATCAGTTAGTAAACTCTTTAAAGATTCTAACTTTGTTGTTACTTTCTTCTACGCATCTCACTGTGTTTTTCATGACCATACCTCAAAGGAGACATTTGGATGTGCTAGGATGCTAGATGGTCTCTAGTACTTTCATGAGTCTTTTGGTAGTAATAAAATATTCGGTTATAGAATTCTCTATATGAACTCAAACAACCTCCAAGACCATGGTTTGAATGATTTGGTAAAGTAGTCACGAGCTATGATTTCTTCAAAGTCAAGCCGATCATATCATCTATTACAAAGTTACGACAATAATAAAACTGCAATTTTGATTCTCTATGTGGATGACATTATTATTAGTGATGATGAAGTAGAATAGGCCACTTCCCTTTTGACAGCAGCAACTTTTTTACCACTTTTTTTTTCGAAGCAATTCGGTGGTTGTAGGATTCAAAAAGTCTTTTTGGTGAAGGTTTCGAAGGGCCTCTTCATGGCTTTAATTGCTTCTTCTCTTCTTCAAGACATTCTTTTTGATTATCAAAGCTTTTTGGGTGGCGTGTGCTTTATTGCATATTTAATAGATGGTCCTCATTTATGCTTGGTTAAAGCTTTCCAGGTGGCTTTTATCACCTTTTATCACCTCTTTGCAAACTTCCTTTATTAATTCATGGAGCATTCATTGGTTGATGGTTTAGATTCCCAAGAGGCTTTTATCACCTTTTCGTTCTTCTTTTCGTTGGATTCAGAAGTTGAAGAGACCCTCCTTGTATCTGCTTTTCTTATATATAGTAAGTGTTTAGTGAAATTTTCATTGTTATGAAGAGGTTTGAGTAGCTCTCCTTAGCAGCAGGTATAAAGATACTCCACTAAATGTATTTTAAGTACTCATAGCTGCTATTCACAGATACATCTCTAGTCTCTCCTTCGGAATTGGATGCATACTTAGCCTTTCTTAACTCCGAGCTTGTCAAGCATTGCAAAGGACGAGATTCGATGTTAGAAGAGCACTATAGAAGATTGCTGGAGATTCAAGCTTATCGGCAAAGAGAAAAAGCTGAAATTCGAGCCAAATTTTCTCAAAATCTCAAAGTCCTTTTTCCAAATGTTAAAGATGTTGATGGAGTTGTTGGCACGCCCGAAGTTAAAGATTCTTAAAGTTTTATTTTCGTGTCCTAGCATCTTGATGGATCGTTTCGATCGTAGTCAACATGGTCTTATTGGCTTTTTATTGTGTTTATATTATCTGTATTACTCCTCGTTGAGCCTCTTTTCTATTCTGTTCCTTTTTCATTTTCTCTCTCCTTCAAAGTTGTTTCTTGTTAAAAAAAAAAAAAAAAAGAGGTCGACCAAGTCGTGGTCAATTTGGGATTGCCAGAGTTGTTGCTCAACTTGATAGTGAAGAGAAGTGATAGAACTTTGGAGCCCCTCAATAATTTAATCCAAATGCTATGGTAAAGAATCCAGAGCTGCCATCAGAGTAACACCATTGGATATAGAGATCCATAAGGGCCTCGGGATGCATTAGGTGTGGTTTTGACCTTGCCCAAATTGATCATGGTTGAGGTTGAGGATTTTTTCCAACATTAGGCACTTCTAATCCATGTTCGGCCTCATGAGTGCGGATTGAAGATAATGAGTCATAAATTTTAAGGTAGGTTGATGGTGGATGGAAGGGTAGAAGGGAAACCCAGCGAAACTAAGTTGGAGGTGTCATTGAAGGTTATGATTAAAATTATACACTAATAGAATCAAGGTATCTTCCGGGAACTCAATACAGAGGTGAGTGGCATGAAAGATCAAATATAGAATTGGAATTCAATTACTGTGGTAGTTTAGGTGTTGACCCAATTCTAGGAGAAATGATGATATCATTGGGCTCCAGTCGAGTGTTTCTTTTGTAAATTTTATGTATTTAGTATTTTTTTCTAATTCAACAATTGTAGGGTAAAAGATTGAACCATTTACCTTTGGAATGATAAAAAGTATCTTATCCAGTTGAGCTATGTTTAGATTGGCTACATTTTAGGACATCTAGTTATTGTTAGAGTGCTGACAAATGATTAAATTCACTATAACCCATTAGTTTAAGTTTTTGGATTTAGTGGTTTTTTTTTCCTTTTTTTTTTTTAACAAGAAACAATACTTTTCATTGATATAATGAAAACAAATAAATGTTCAAGATACAACTACGAAACGAGTAAATTAAATAAATAAATAAAATCCCACATTAAAAGTAAGAGCATTCCAATTCAAAAAGAATAAGGAAGCCTTGTGTTCAAACCAATGCAATGTCATTTTTTTCTAATTAATATTGATAACAAATTCTTGGATCTTGTACAAATTTCCAAGCCTCTAAGTCGTGGGAAGTGTTAAAGTTTTTATAAATGATTAAATTCATTGTAATCCACCAACGGAAGCTTTTGGGTTCAAAGTTGATTAACTAGCTATTTAAAGAGAGAGAGAGAGATTGAGTGTTTGTTTGAAGATTAATTCTTAGCTTGGTGGGAGTGTTTTGATTTGGCCTAGATCTAGTCTTCCCATTAGTCTTCTTTACTATCGTTGTTTGAGCATTATTCTTTCGAAGACATTTGTTTTAATAGGGATGCCTTTATATCCCTGAAATAGTTTTTTATTTTTACTTTTTTTCTCCACGGAGATTGTATCTTGAACATTTCTTGTTTCTTTTCATCGGCCAATGAAAAATAGAATAAATACGTTTCTTGTTAAAAAATAAAAAATAAAAATAAAAAGACATTGAGTTGTTACATTACAAAAGAGATTAGGCTTAAGTTAGTTTCGTTTTGAAGATAGTGTTTAAGCCTTTATCAGAGTGTTAATTTGTCAAATTTTCAGATGTTGTATTCATATATGTTTTCTTTTTCTTTTTTCTTTTGAATCTTTTCACATCTCGTTTCTCGTATGGTTGTTTTTTTCACTTTCCTTTTCGCTCTTTTGGAAGTTTGTATCCTTGAGCATTTTCTCTCTTTTCGTCATCGATGAAAAGTTTGTTTCTTGTTCTATTGAATGGGCTTTAAGACCCCAAGTACAGAGAGAGGATTGTTTCGGTCTTCTCTTTGGAACTGAAACTCCTATATTCCTCCTCCATCTAGACTAATCATAAAAGAGAACTTCAAGTATTTTGCCACAAAAATTTCTTTGGACATTTGAATCTTGGACTGCAAAAAGATTTCTATCGCGAACTGAATAGTAAAATTGGGAAGGGGCAAATTGATCTGTAAAGTATTGAAGATGTGATCTCAATCGTTATCAAATGTTGGATCATTTCCTAACCTGGAAGCCAAGTGCAACAAGGTCTTTCTCGGAAGCATCTGCAACAGACCTTTAATATAAAAGTAGTTAGGAAGGATATGCCAAACATGATAGCATGAAGTTAAGGTAATTGAAATTATAATAACAGGTCAAAGCCAAACCTTAACAGCTCTAGAATATTTGGCCAGCTGTAGTGTAATTTTTCTCCATGTCTCTGAGTTTTTGGAAGAAAATATTGCGAGCTTGGATTAATACATAAAAGAGGACAAAACTTAGCTATTGATAGCAACATAAATTACCTCTAAAACGTGTAGAAGAATCTTCAAAGAACCAGAGCAAACATCAATGCTTTGGGAAGAAGAATATAGAGACTGTAGAGGAGATATAACAGAACATTCCAGTGACCTAAGCTTTTCGAGCTTGTCTTCAATCTAAAACAGACGCCCACAAGGACCAAAATCATACTTAGTTTTCTCTCTCAATACGATACAAAAAAGAACTAGGATGAGAATTCTAACAACCTTCATAGAGGTATGATGATTAGGTGAGGTGAAATCTAGTAAGGGTTCGGAACCTAACACTGAGCAGATTGATTGGTCCAATGCATCAAGTGCTATATTGCGTACGTGCTGATTGGAGTTGTTGGCGAGCTGCGAATTCATTCTTTCAGGGTAAAAAAGTAAGTAATGCAAAAATGGAAATCATAGAAATTAAAATATGGTTACCTCAACAAAATGGCCAACAACTTGGTTCCATAGTGGTTCAACCCCTATTATAAAACATAATAGATTCACGGTGTGAAAATTAGACCATTATAAGAGTTTGGAATGACTTTGGGGAGAAGTATTTTTAACTAAATCATTTTTTGTATAAGAAATTTTGGAAAAAGCACTATTTAAGTGCTCTATCTAAACACATTTTAATATACTTTTACGTATTTTTAAAATTTTCAAAATCAATCATGACCAAATAGCCAAATAATATAAGAAATAAGGAACGTACTCTAATAATACACTTTCTAGTGGTGAAAGATTCTGAGAGCAACATATCAGTTAACATTGGATATTATCAAACGAATGACTTATAGAAATGAAATGTAGTGCACAACCATAAGTGAAACCATGACATTTTTCTTGGTTAAATTATTAGTCCCAGTAAACTTTCAAGTCTGTGTTTAATAGGTCTCTAAACTTTAGAAAATATTATTTAATAGGTTCTTAAACTTCTTAAACTTAAAACTGTGTGTCTAATAGGTCCCTGAACTTTAAAAATGTTGAATAAGTTTTTGAATTTTCAAATTTGTGTCTAACAACTCCCTTACATATTGCTTTTTCAAATTCGCTAATCTATTAGACATTGTAGCTTTAGGAAGAATAATTTTCTTATTCAACCAAGGACCCAATAACGGGTGAGTATAATACACAAAAAATTGCAATCAAGGAAACAGGAAAGGAAAAGATATTAACCAAGAACCAAAGGATATTATCTAATCTAAATAAAATAAAACTAAATTTAAATAATACAAATGAATAGATATAAATTTGAATTTTGCGTTTAATTAGACTCGAGACTTCCAATTTTGTGTCTAATAAGTCCTTGAATTTTAGTAGATGTCGAATAGATATATTAGACACAAACTTCAAAGCTCATGAACTAAACTTGTAATTTAACCGATTTGTTCAAGGCTCAACAGAAACAAAATGAGCAATGAATATAGAATTAAAGTAAACACTCAAACATTGATCCACAAAATGGGTGCAGCATGTATAGGTACCATTTCATATACCACTTAAAAACACAGCTCCTAACATAATTAATGAAAAAAAAAAGTGCATGGGTAACTATTAATGACTAGTATAACAAGTGGAAACATGGCCAATGAACTGGACACGAAAGAAATAATTTCTTATAATTTTAATGATCACAATAATGTACAACATACATTGATGTACATGCATTTGTGTACACACACATTGAAGGAAACTATCATAACATTTGTGAATTACATAACTGACATTCAAAGAATGGAACCAATATTTTCAAGGACATTGAAGGAAATCACAACTGTAAATTACGGATGAATCAATTTTTTATTTGTATGATTAATTTTTCCATTATTTAGTTCAGGGTGGTTGCAGATTCTTAGGATATATGATCTGGATCCCTCATGTATAAATCTACCACTTACTTTTTCGATGAAAAACAACTTTCAGGCAGAACTACAGGCATGGAATGAAAATTTACACATAATAACATGGCATTATAAAGGCAATGCTTTTACTTTAAACATGTTCAACATGAATTCGTAAGCAAACAAACATATCAGAGACAGTCGACAAACTTGCAGTAAGTAAACATAAAAACTATATTGAGAAAATATATTAAAAAGTTTTATCAACAAACAGTAAATCCAATGATTTTACTTACTGTGAAGATTATTGACAAGGATGCATATAATCCTTTCCACAGAAAAATTGATGCTACCAATTTTCTGACTAGAAGCTAAGCCAAAATTACTTGAAGCACTGGTTAGATATTGATGAGAAAGCTGACATAATGCTGAAAGAAGTGAATTCACTGCAGATATGTGCATCAATGCTGAGCTCTCAAATAGCTTCAAAAAGAAGGGAAAAAAAAAATAAAGAAATAACACGAAGTAGAAGATATATAATTTACGATGAGTGGATTAATAGCATATAAGGAGAAGCACACTATAATATCTGTATTCAGTGGGGACTTTGACATCAATTCTCTTTATTTACTTTCTTTTTCAAAAAAAAAATGCTAAAGTTTCATTGTTCCTTCCTGTTCCACGAAACTAAATGGAAAGCAGCATTATCTTTAAAATAGTTTACCAAGAAACATTCTTTTCTTACCTGAGAATTTAAAGAAGAAAGAATGTGAAAGTCACTGTATTGCCCAGACGATTCCCTTGTAAGCTTTGGGACAGATGTCGATACCTCCTGCATGCATGGAAGGCAAAAAATATGCTAAAAGTAACAAATGGATCAACACAACTGCACACTGGTTTGTCATTGGATGACTGAACACAGGTCAAGAAAATCAGAGAAACAGCATAGGGAGCAGAGTCACCAAATTTCATTCAGGAGTATTCACTTAAAAGTTTTAAAGAGCAGTACACGTCACAAAATACACTACATTAGTAATAAGGAAATAATATTAAAGGAGCATGTACCCAAAAGCCTCACATCTATGTTAAGATACTACTAGATCCAAAAATTTAAGTTAATAACAGGTTAGAGAGATGAAAAGTGCTCTATTCTCTCTCTTCCCTTAGGTTTTCCATCCGGGAGTGCTCATCATCAGAACGTTTCGAGTAAAGTAAGTCTTCAAGATTCATTTCTCTTCTGGATTCATAATTAGTTCTTTGAGATTATTTGGTACGTATGGATATTAATAGCTTTTGGATTGAGGGCAAGCATTTCAGTAATAGCTTTTGCATTGAGGGCAAGCATTTCTCGCTTCTTAAACAACAATCCTCTCCCAATGAAGTTTTTCAAATAGTGAATTATCCTTACACCCGCTTGAAGGTAAGCTTCTTTTGGACTATGCATAAATTAACTTACCACTCTCATAACCTACGCAATATCTGGTCTTGTATGAAAGAGATATATTAATTTTCCAACTAACCTTTGGTAAGTTTCCTTATTTACTAAATGACTCTCTTCGGCTGCACATAAACTACGGCTTTGATCCATCGGCATTAGAAAATAAGTCAATCACATACTTCTGTTGTGATGAGAATATGCCCCGTTGAGAATAGGCAATTTATATCCCAACGAAATATTTAAGCTTTCCAAGTTCTTTAACTTCAAACTCATGGATCAAACAATTTCTCAATTTGCCTCGTTCATTACCATCATTGCCAATGACAATAATATAATCGACATAACCAATTAGTACTGTCACCCCCCTGCAACAGAATATTTTATAAGCAATGTATGATCTCATTGACTTTGTTTGTTTCTCAATTTGCAAACCTTATTTCCTACCTACTCTACCCAAGTGGAATCTCCGTATAAATTCTCTTCAAGATCACCTACATCATATTATAACATGTCTAATCCACGATCAATAACAAGACATCAGTGTTTTCAAGGCGTAAGGCGCACCTCAAGGCAACAAGCCTCCTTATCACCTTAAGGCGAGAGGCGACAAAAAGGCGTCGCCTGAGAGAAGTGAGGCGCACTTAATAAAATAATAAAATAAATATTATCTATAGCAATTTTATATATTAAAAACTACTTTAGGTGAAAATATTTGGTGCAAATAAATTTGAACTTAAATAATTAAGAAAAATTAAAAATTTAAATTTAAAAATAAAATTAGTGGTTAAGTAGAATACTAAAAGTAAATGATAAATTAACTTAAATAAAAAAAATAAATTATTGCCATCTTTGCCTTTTGCTGCCAGATGGCAAGATAAAATTGCATACAATTAATGTTGCGCCTTGAAAATGTAAAAGGGAATAGGAAAAGTCTCAACCAAGCATCAAATCCCCATATCTTTTATTCTATTTTTTAATTCTTCTTCTACTTCTACTTTTCCAATTCTTCTTCTTCTTCTTCATCTCTAATTCTTCTTTCATGATTCTTCTTCTTCATCACTAATTCTTCCTTTCCGAGCACCTACATCGCCCTGAATACATGTTCATAGGTGAAACTAAATATTTTGATTGTCTACGAACAAGGAGAAGGAAGGCATGATGGCTTCATATCGTGCAATAAGTGGGGGCAAAGGCAGTAGCAATGGCAGCAGCAAAGGATGAAGCGGCGGTGAAGGAGGAAGACTTTCGGGTGTGGGTATTTCGATTTTTGGGTGTGGGTTTTCATCTTTTTGGGTGTGCGTTTTCATCTTTTTGGGCATTCTTTTGTGGGTTTTTTAAAATTATAACCAAAAAAAAAAGGAGTCGCCTCACATCAAAGAGGCGCTCGCCTCACCTTATGGCGATGGCGCCAAGGCGCACCCAAGCCAAAATGCCTCGCCCCTCGCCTTAGGCGAGCACCTAGGCATGCCTTGAAAACACTGCAAGAGATAGAAGTATTCATACCATGTTCATCTTGACAACAGCTGCAAACGTTACAAGGTAATCGACTCTATAGGTTGAGTAGTTCCTTGGCAAGCAACCATGCTTTGTACCTTTAAAGTGTTCCATTTACTTTATGCTTCACGGTATATACCTATCGACGACCTACTACTTTGATCTAGCCGTTTATGGCTTTGGGTAGTTTTAAAAGCTTTAATGATAGTTTGTAGGTTATAAAACCCTTTTACTGTATAGTAACTACAAGTTACTATTAGTTGTTAGTTATTGTTAGTTACTTTTAGTTGTTGTTAGTTGTAATCCTCTATATATAGCGTACTCCAATTAATTAATAAAGGCAGATTGAGATTTTCTTACCTTTCTTAAAGAGAGTCTCCATCAAATTGGTAGTAGAGCTCTCAAAGAATCTCTGGGCACTCGATGGCAGGAAAGAAACTGACGATGGGAGAAAATTCTTCCATAACCAGCAAGGAAACGGATCAACCAGCCGTTCTCTCACCACGGGCAGTCACCAAACGCTTGCAGTTGGTTGACGGGGAGATCAAGAATTTGCAAAGTGACGTGGGTGAGATTAAGCAAATATTAGGAATGATACACCAGCAATTGGAGACGTTGAATGTCAACCGGGGCTCGGCACGGAATACCCAACCTCTGCCTCCAAGAATTAGCGAAGATGTTCGGGAGGATGATCACCAAGGCATTCGTATTCAAGAAAGGCCTGCAGCACCGCCAAGATTCTATCAAGAAAGAGGGCAAGACTTGAATGGGCCTCCAAGATTACATCAAGAATATCGACAACACCATCAAGAAATTAATCATAACCCTCTGTTTCAAAGGCGCCACGACCTTTGTCTGGATTTTTCAAGCGACGAAGAGGATGATTATTTGGAAATGGATGACAATCAACGGGGATTTCAAAGGAGACCGGTTAGACACCACGATGCACCCGATTTTAAGATGAAGATTGACCTTCCTACATTCAGCGGCATGATGGACATTGAGGGATTTTTGGAGTGGGTCCAGAATGTGGAAAATTTTTTCTCTTACATGAACACTCCAGAAGATAAAAAGGTACGTCTCGTTGCTTTCAAACTCAAGGGTGGTGCATCTGCATGGTGGGATCAATTAGAGGTCAATCGGCAACAGTATGGTAAGCGACCTATTCGAAGTTGGGAATGTATGAAACGACTAAAGAGAGAACGCCGTCAATTTTGAACAAATTTTATATAATCAATATCAAAATTGCCAGCAAGGAACTCGTTCCATCGCTGACTACACCAAAGAATTCCATCGGTTAGGTGCAAGAACTAATCTTTTGGAAGGCCAACAGTATTTGGTTGCAAGATTTGTTGGTGGATTAAGGGCAGACATCAAAGAGCAAATCGCATTGCAACCACTTGGGTACCTTAATGAAGCCATATCCGTTGCAACCACTATTGAAGAACAAATCAATAACCGGTATAAAAAGACATACGTTCGGAGAAATACTTGGGATCAAGGGGGTTCCTCGAAGAAAAATGTTGTTCCTTTGGACAAGCCTTCTGTTCCTCCAAAGGAAAGAACATATTGATGTAGCCATTTATGGCTTTGGGTAGTTTTAAAAGCTTTAATGATAGTTCGTACGTTATAAAACCCTTTTACCGTATAGTAACTCCAAGTTACTATTAGTTGTTAGTTATTGTTAGCTACTTTTAGTTGTTAGTTGTAATCCTCTATATATAAGGTACTCCTTCAATTAATAAAGGCAGATTGAGATTTTCTTATCTTTCTTAAAGAGAGTCTCCATCATACTTTCTTATCTTTAGGTATGGTAACTCACTCCTATATAAAATTTTTTCTAAGATATACAAGTCAAGATACATTGCTTGTCTACATTCTTCATATTGTACTGCCCAGTGTTTTCGAGGCGCACCCAGGCGAGGGGCGAGGCAATTTCGCCTGAATGCGCCTTGAGTGGTGTCAGGGCGACCGCCTTCAACCGGGCGCTCGCCTTGGTGCGCCTCACTGCGCCTTGGCGCGCCCTCGCCTTATGGCGAGGCGAGCGCCTGGTTGAAGGCGGGCACATCAAACTTTTTTTTTTTTTTAAAATCAGTTTAACTCAATAAAACCCACCTCATAACGAAAATAAACAAAAAGAGAACGAAGAGTTTAAAAAAGAAGAAGATGAAGAGAGGAGAAAAGTAGAACTGTAGGAGATAAGAAGGGAGATAATAGAGATGGTAGAGTTGAAGGAAGAAGAAAATTTGAGGCAGAGCATGTTGAAGAAGAAAAGCTTGAGGAGGAGAAGAGCTTTTCTTTTTTTGTAGAGTACGAGAAGAAAAAATTGAGGGCAGTACTAAAGAAAGAAAAGTTTGAAGGCAACACATTTTTCTATGTGCTTGCTAGCTGTCAAATAGTATTTTTGTGTTTCCCATAAACACAGCTATTTATTATAAATACGGTTTCCATAAATACAACTATTTCTATTTAATTCTTTAGCATTATTGAACTATTTTTTTACCATTTATTTTAAATACAATTTTCTCTCTGCTTCTTTTTTCTTTAATTTGAATATTTTTATTTTTCTCAATTATTTAAATTAATTTTTATTTGAATATATATATATATATATATATATATATATATATATATTTTCACATTTTATTGAATATTTATTTATTTTACATATAAATTATTAATAAATATTATTTATTAAATATTTTATTCAGTGTGCCTCGCTTCACTCAGGCCTCGCCTTTTTATCGCCTCTAGCCTTGAGGCGATCAAAGGGCTTGTCGCCTTGAAGTGCGCCTTGCGCCTTGGAAACACTGGTACTGCCTTCATATGTATTTTTGGAATACTTACTCGAGTAAGGTTAACCATAAAACTTCTGTACTTATGAGTTTGTCACAGGATAC